CCAGGGCTACAGGAATGTAGGACGCCCATGGCTAAGATACAAAGACAAGCTGAAAAGCAACTTGTCAGCAGTCAATATACCACATAACACTCTTGAGCGCTTAGCTTTGGAGCGGGTAGAATGTAGATCAACGTGTTTTAGTGGACAGCAATTTTCAATCTGCTTGTCTGAATCATCTTCGAGAAGCGAGAACAAGATCTAAAAGGTCAGCTAATCTAACAGTGATCGCATCTCACAATCCTCACACTTGCTCCATATGTGGCTTCCTTTGTAAATCACTAGCGGGTCTTAAATGCCACTTAAGATTAGCGCATAAACTTTCATAACTGAATCAATAATCTGGCAGATCCTCATACGTCGAAACCGACAGGAGAGTCCATTATATATATATATATATATATATATATATATATATATATATATATATATATATATGACACAGAGAAAAGAGATTGTTACACCTTTCTTTGCGCAAGTTATCTAATTAAGTTTTTATCGAGTCTATGCGCGTAGCTCTTTATGTTTCAATAAATAACGAATCGATTAGTTAGTTATTAAATTAACCGAATAACGAATTTATAATTTTTGCGCATTTGGTATATTGGTAAAAAAAATCTTTTATTCTCAAAATATAACTAGTAACAACGTCAGTATGCGCCAGAGATTTTACAAACATTTTAACATACTGCCATGCTCCCGAAAATTTACTGCTATTGAAAAAATTTACACAGCGTTGATTTAAAACTAATGTGGCCTATCACTTGTCCTAGAATTATGGTTCCTTCCTGTAGAGCATTAACAGTTTAAACTCGCGTTGTCCTCCGCTCAGAACATCAATATATGGAAACAAGGGGAAGAACTGAATTTATTTAAAATACAGCTTTATTAAAATTTACATACAGGGGAATTACCTCTTGTCCACCAAGTGTAGATTTGCGTCTTATAGGGTATCAATGACTGACCCCGACGGAGAAGTCCATAATTGACTCGCGTGGATGTATGTACAAAAAATAAACTCTGTGTGTGTGTGTGTGTGTGTGTGTGTGTGTGTGTGTGTGTGTGTGTGTGTGTGTGTGTGTGTGTGTGTATAAAAACGCACACCTTTGAGGTAAGAATTACCTTATATCTACAATAGAATCCACCTACTAAATCAAACAACTACTAGCTGAAAGAGACTGAAGTCTGGAGTTGGATAAAATGTAATGTATGAGAGGTGAAAAGTTGTGTTTACATTAGTCTGCACAATAATATTACAGAATATAGTTCAAAGATTAAAAAAAAATACTACCAATTATACATATTTTAAGAAAATGTAAGAAATTAGCCAAGAAGGAATACAAAAAGAGACATCACGAAGTATGAAGCCTTACACTAGAATTTGTGTAAGTGACAGTTTTGACAATACAAACCAAAAGTATATACACCGAACATATGTTCTACTTGTGACTCAAATGACTTACCCAATCAAACCCAGAAGACAAAAAGCTGATCAATGAGGGAGAAACAAAAAACCGTGGAGTGCGATGTTCCGGCAGTCAGACGCCTAAAGCTAAAAGAAAGCGAAGGACTTCAATATTCCCGAAGAGCCGACTAAATATGCTAGAAGATCTGGCTATCTGGGGATGAATCAAGATCATCCTTCCAACAATACAACTGACATTAGCTACAATATGCTACCAGTCACTATAGCTGCGAAAATTGAAGGAGTTGAACTAGTACATTGAACTATTTTAAAAGTCTTAATAACTCTTACGTAAATAAAGAGACTTACTTTCACTCGATCTTTACCATGAATGCAACAGAAACAGGCATTGAATTTGGTTTTTATAGAAACCATTAGAGATTAAGTCACTCATCCAGTATTGTGTGTCAAATTTAGTGAAATTAAATATCAAAAGAGAACTTTTTGGGTATATTTTCATATACCGATCGTTTCTGAAAAATACTTCCTCAAATGTTGAATCTGTAATCAGGAATAATTTTGGGACTGAAGCATTATTATTCTGAAATAACTTTGGTGGTATGAAAGAAAGAAAATGAATCAAAAAGAGTTTGTAAAAACAGAATAGAACTGATTCAGCGAACAAAAGTTTAAAATTGTAGCAAAAATAAGGGTTCAGTTGCAGCCGCATGATTACCAACTTGGCAATCAGAACCGATTGTGTGACAATATACATATCCTTAAAACTTAGAGAAAATGTGAACTCATTATGTGACTTCATTATGAAGTGATGCTGTAGATTTAAGGAATCACATTGTCACTTGATATTCCATGCGAACTAGCATATTCCTTCCTATGTAATGTTCAATTGTTGAACATGAAATTAAACCCACTTTTTAAAACTGGTATTTAAAAAAAATGTGAATAAATAATATTTTTAGAATTATGAAAAAAGGAAGACGGCTAATTTGTTCAAGAAACATTTTACGTGTTAAGTAATCATTAGCTTAAAATTAGCTTAAAACTAGTCCTCATATTTAATAAATCTAGTTTTTTTTTTCTTCTGTATGTACCATTCCTCAAGTGAAATTACCGTTAAAAGCATTAAATCATTTAAAGTTAATCTTGGCATCATAGAGGGGGAATAACTACACTAAATCTTTTACGGAACCGAGATTCAATTAGGAAAATTAGGAAACGGAATTGTTTCAGAGTTTTTATTGAACCATTTTTGCTGAAGATATTATTTAACAGTACTGTTTTTTGTTTTTGTTTTTTGTTTTTGTTTTTTTTTAACCCTTCTCATTTCTTTAGTTAGATGTAACTTTGGCTAGGAAGCTATATATCTTCTCCCAGAATACAGCGTTAGTAATGCCCTTTGAAATCTGTGTACGTAGATATCGAAGTAATTTTTAGATAGATAGTTAGAAGCAGACTACCACACATATACAGACATCTATCTCTGTGTGCCTGTTTGGACAGACCAATATTAATTATGAATTCAAATGCCCTTTACGGAACTGTGTTCTTGACGAAAATAAATCCATGAATGATTACGTCGGACATAGCAATCGCTTATCGAGGCGGTTAACCTTACATCTCTCGGACCATACCTCCATCAGGGCCCTTACACATATATTTTCATGGCATTATATATATATATATATATATATATATATATATATATATATATATATATAAAACTGATGTTCTGACATTAAGGTAAAATATATGATACCAGTTCGAATAAAGGGTTTTAGAAAAGTGTAAAACAATTAAGATTTTCAACCGCAGAAGGCTACTACATAAAAATATTGATGTCATTAACATCGCAGATATGGAACCATCCACCAGAGATAGTTAAATGTGTACTTGGACGGAGTGTTATGGAAGGTTGATATAGTGATTTACCAAGCATAGCTTAGATGTGGCACAAGGTCGAAAGTAGGGCGGCACCCAGTGAGGATCGAACTCACTACTCAGTCGTAATAGTTCTAGTGTATGGAAGGTTGATATAATCAAATGTTGTAATCTCTACATTTATAAAAACATACTTTCCTCTCGGTAGAAATAATAATTAATTTGGAATAATAGCCGAGAGAGTGGAGTCAGTGAGTTAATGAATGTGTGTGTGTGTGTGTGTGTGTGTGTGTGTGTGTGTGTGTGTGTGTGTGTGTGTGTGTGTGTGTGTGTGTTGTATTTTCAAATACTGAAGAGATTTTTGTATGAAAAGTAATGGGAGAGAAGAGGTAGAATAAAGTGTATCGATATAGAGCAGTGATTTTCAACCGGCCTACCACAAAGCACTGGTGTGCTGTGATAGGATTGTGTATGGTAACAGTTTTTTTTTTTTAAGATGAATAATTAAATTATTTTTTAAAAAAATGCCCAAAGCAGAATACCAAAATATAGTGTTATAATAGTTGTTATAATAAATAAACGTATATATAAAATAAGATAAAAATATGTTTAATCACGACTAAAACCTCTGAAAGAAGATTCTAGTTCAAAATTCAACCTTGCAAAGAAGATATTGTAGAAAAATTTAAATCTTCAATCCTAGATATATCATTAAATGTTAAATTATAATAAACAGAAAAATAAATATAACATTTAAGAATTTTAATTCTAAAATACATAGTTTTGTGTTAATAAATACATTATAAAAAGTATACTCTTTTTTTATCTACGCAATTTAAGTTTACCGCGAAAGTGTAACTAAAGGTTCAAGTGTGCCGTGAGATGAAAATGTTTGAAAACCATTGATATAGATATTCATTTATATTTACTAAGCTTACCTCATAACTATAATTAGGACTGGATGATTTTATAACCACAATTTAAACTTAATTCTTTTCCGTCGTATTCATGACCAAGTAGAATGGCTATTCTACACTTATCGGATTGCTAATGCATTTATTATGGTCAACAAAACCAAATTAACCCGCTGATATAATTCAATGAATAGTAAGACTAGTGTCTGTAATCTGGCTCCTGTGTAAAAGTTCAATTGGGCCTCACTATTTTGGGATCCTTCGGGAAATCAGGTTCTTACAAGGCAAACTTACAATGACGAACAACTCAGTCCTGGGAATTAAGATTTCTTTGAAGATAACATGAAATATTCTCATATGAACGCTTTGCAAGAAATTCACGCGAATGAAACAGTTCAGATAGAAAGAAGAAAACAAATGGCCCCCAAATTAGACAATATCTGAACATTTCCTATATCTACTAACTGATAAAAAAATCTTAGGGCATAAATTCATTTTTTATTCGTTCTTCAAAACAGTAATCAAAACAGTTTGAAAATATCAATCGCTTATGTTGCTGAACGCTGATTACTCTGTTACAGTTGTTTCAATTCCCGAACAGATTCTGACTGTAAATTTCTCATTTGGATGCTAACACCATAAAAGGACAGTCAACATATTGCACAAGATACTCCTAAAACCTAGCACAAAGTATCATTTACGTGTTACCATTTAATGTCAGGATTTAATTTATCGAACAAAGATATCGGAAGATTTCTCATATCTGCCTCCAGAAAAAAATGGGTTTACGGCCATATCACTTTGAAACACCAGTTCCGGTACGATCATCGGTGTTAAGCAACATCGAGCCTGATCAGTATCTAGATGGGTGACCGCTTGAAATACCAGGTGCTGTAAGCTTTTATATGTGGGTTTGTGTAATAATGGCTTAGAATTGTTCATCGGAGAGACGATTTTGAAATGCTGTTGAGTTCATTATATTCCCTAACCCCGCCAATACCATTGTAAAGGGTACTGAATCGACCTCTTCAGCTGTGGGATAATTAGTAAGACTTGTATCATTAAACAATCATCCCTAAAAGGAAAAAAAAGGTCTTACAATGGGTCATTTAAAGCTGAGGCATTCTTTTATTTCATAAAAAATATATCAACAATGTATTTACTTATTTTCTTTTTACCCCCACATAGTTTCAGCTTTTTTCCCCTCACATGTTATCAATTATATCATCTATTCTTACTGAAAGAGCAAGGATGGATGATGTTATAAGTGCTCTCTTATGTTGTTTATATTGAAGAAAGTCTTCCTAAATTGAGCAAGAGTTGCACATTCAATCAGTACATGTTTTATAGTGTATGTATATTTGCAAGTTGGGCATGTTGGTTGGTCTTTCCCTTTCAATAGGTATGTGTGTAATTCTTGTATGGCAAGCGGTCTATTACGATCTCTTCTTTTCGGGATTTTTTGTATTCTGCTTCCCATTCGCCAAATATCGGATTGATTTGTAGTCATTTATTGGGTCCGTTGTTACTCCAAAGTTGTTGTCATTTTTGTTTAATAAATCTGTTTACTTGACTCTTCAGGTAGGAGATCTTAAACTTCAGGTCAATTTCCATATTTTCAAAATATTTATAAGCTCTGTCATTTCCAGTTATTCCAATGTAACTTGGGATCCAACACATCACAACATCTATCGACACAGATATTAAATGGACTGTATTTAGTAACTTATGTGTTGTCATGTTTTTTTTTTTTGTTTTTTTAGTGTTGTTAGAACCGACAGTGAAACAGATAAGATTATAAATGTTTTGTTTTTATTTGTTGAAATAATGCTGAGCCCCAGATCTACGGCACAGGCTTCAGCATTGAAGATAGAGGTTTCATCAGGGAGGCGTTTACTGCTTATTTTCTTCTGAGATATTTTCCCGCACATCCCGTTATATGTTTTTGGACCCATCTGTAAATAGTTTTCTTTGATTTTATCAAATTCTACCTGAAAGTTAAGAGGATTCATTTTCTTTTTTAAATTTACATAAGTTTATTATTTTGGGGGCTTGTCTGCTCCAGCGAGACATGTTAGGTGTGATATCATCATAAATTCTTGCCAGTTATATTTTAGATTCCTCAATAAGGAGTTCCATTCGAAGCTCAAATGTTTTTTTATAGTTTTTTTTTCTTTTTGTTTATAGAGGTATCTGTGCTGAGGGAGGAAAGTATTTTTGTAGGAAGGGTTAGATTAACAAGATTTTACTTTTGCTGAATACTGTAGCGCCAGTTTTTTGCATGTAAGATTAGGAGTTTCGTCAGCTTGTGCATTTAAAGTTCGAACCAGTGAGGTTTTATAGACACCATTCTTAAACCTCCATGGATAGCAGAATCAACGAGGTTTGAATAGGATTCTTGACAAACTGTATATAATGCTACCATAATCTAGTTTTGAATTAAATATTATTCCCAAGAACTTACGCTTATCTACAACTGGTATTTCAGTCTCTTCTAGTATTAGAGTAGGATCATTGTGTAGTTTTCTATTCTAACAGAAGTACATACATTTAGTTTTTGCTTTAGAAAACTTGAAGACATTCCAGTTGTCCTTTGGCTAACTTTATTAAGGTACTGCTGTAATTTTCTATGCTGTGCATATGTATGGATTTGTAAAAAATGAGTCATCTACATACAAAAGTCCTACACCGTAGACTAATTTTTTACTATATTATTTATTTTTATACTGAACAGTGTTTTTGGGAATGCCCTCTGCTTGGTTTTTTGTCAGAGAGAGTTGAGCTAACCTGGACTTTGGATTTTCTGTTAGTAAGAAAAACCTTTATGAAATTGATAGCCATTCTTACAGGACAATGGCATACAGATTCTTACAGGACAATGGCATACAGATTCCTTTTTTTTAATACTTTCCCTCGATGTACGAATCTGTAAGTTTGCAAATATTACCGAAAAATCTTAGATTACCAGAAATGTTTATAGATTTGTTCTTATTCTCTCTCGCCATTTACTTATGTGTATCCTATACGACATTTGTACGATGCTCGCATTTCTGTTTCCCTTGTTTAACACAAGATTTAGTACCGATTTGTTAGAAGTCACAGACTTTGCAGTTTCAAGTGTCTTGTTCGTTTTTCATCTCTTTCTATTATTTAGTTCGCCTCTCCTTACAAATTGCATTGCTTCTACTTTTACCAATGTAGCGGCCGATTAAATCCATTAAGCAATGTTCTTTCGTCTGAATGGTTACCGTTTTATTCTAATGTTTCTTGCCATTACGCTTTTCCCCTCGCTTTCTTCAAATACTATATTTTATTAGTTTATTTTTTGCTTTTTTACCATTTCACTTACAGTTATTTGTTCCTCTTTTCTTTTTACCATTTTTCTTTCTTTTCTGCCATTGTTGAGTCATCATTCTTACGATTTATTTCATTGTCATTTTGTTTGTTTCTTTGTCATCTTTGCTGATCATCATTTCCCTCTAAAATCATCATTTTATCTACTATTTTAAAAATATCCTTCTCTTTTGTCTTTTAATATTTATTATTGTTTTTCTATTTAATTTCTTTCTTGTTGTTTAACTATTTTTTCTTTCTTCTTACGCATTCTTCCTCCTTTTTCAATTTCACCTTCCTCTCTTATTCTGCTTCTTCTCTGCTACGTCATCTCTTCTGAAAGCTAAACATTCTGTGTATTGACATGTGGCTATGCACAGATGTGCATGCTTATTCGCTTGGAATGATGGGAAAAGTTCAGGCTCGTTAAACCAGACAATATTTGCATCACGTTCATTGGGCTAAATCTGGATGCTAGATGAACTCAGTCAAAAATGGTCGAACTCTGAAAGGGGAGGAAGTTAAAAAAAGACAAGTCGAAGAAAACAATTAATACTTCGGTCTAAAATTAAATATAAATACAAACATATGTAGATGCATAATGGTTTCCAGTTCGCTTCCTAATATGCCTATCTGAGAGGGGGATAGCTAATCCACATGGCAAACGTTTGCTCAGGTACAGTTGCGTTTCTTCAACACGTATAGAGTCAATCTGTGGTTTATACTCCAACTACGCTGGGTGAACCTGACTTAGTCTCTGTAAGTGAGCACATACTGTAATCAGTAGATGAACAAAGCCAATACGCTCAGACCTTCATCCCCATTGACGTGGTTTCTTGCGATCGGCGCATTATGAACAGTTTTGTCTATCCAATTTCAATCACATGGTTTGGGTCAATCGATGGAATGGTTTTTGGACACTTCACAACTGTGCTGCACGCTGAAATAGTCTCACCTGAGCGATATTTTAAACATGTTACCTTTAAATACATACATATATACATACATAGTCAATTGCGTTGTCGAATATAACGACAACAAGATATCATTGTAAAACCTAGTTTTGCTTTGAACGGGTGTGGTTCTTCAAACCAGACAAAATTTTAAAGTTTATGGCATAAAATTGGCTGACTCGCAAAACTTTCCACAAGAGTGACATGTATTCTCATCATTAATGACATTTTGTAGTTGTCTGGTGCTCTGGTACGAAGACTTTACATACGACTTGATTTTCTATTTTACTAAGGTAAATTCTCTCCCCATATATAATTTATTCGAAATAACATAAGGATGTTATAAAATCACTACAAAAATAGCTATTTTGTTTCAACACTTTTGGTGTTTTTATCAAATGATGGTATATATATATATATATATATATATATATATATATATATATATATATATATATATATATATATTTCATCCACAACAGACTGTTTCGCTGTACATCAGTGTCGCTAGACATCCGATTGACTGAAGCCTGTATCGAAATCCAACTGATTTCGTATCAGTCGGAGATTTTACCCACTATTCACACGCCAGGGATGTAGGTGAATTTATTTAGACGTTTTTTTTTTTTCATACTAACACGAAGAGTCGTGTAATAGTCACTGTTTACAAATTTACTTTTCTCTCAGTAGAGTTCAAGCAGTAATTTTTCAGGAGCATATATAATATATATATATATATATATATATATATATATATATATATATATATATATATGTGTGTGTGTGTGTGTGTGAAAAGTGTATATAAATATAAATAAATATAAGTATGTATTATTATTTATATATTATATGCGCGGTACTTATTAGAAAGCGCTCATTATTAGAGATAGAGCTAACATATTTGGTTGGATAGATGTGAGTTTGTGACCCTGGGTTTCACGCTTTAGCGATCGTCAGACAAACTGATTAATGTTTTAAAAAATTTGGGTTGATGTAGATTGCGTGTATTGGTATTATTGTGGAAGTGGTGGGGGAAATTTCGTCGTTTTGTCATTCATCGTACTAACGCAAACATCGACGTATGCAGACACATATACATACTTGGTCGTCCCTCGGGACTCATACATATATAAACATATGTGGACAGTTTCGGCTATGACACATGTATGTATACGGGTGGTGTTACATCTATACATACGCATTTGTATGTTGAAATGTTGAAATTTAAACATTGGAAGTGTGGCGGAAATGTCTCGTTACTGTATACATGTCATACTATGTGTTTTCCCTTTGAAAATATTTCCTCGCATGTATGTATATGCGTGTGGGGGTTTGTGTAAAATTATGATAGGTAAAAATTATTATTATTTATTTTTTTTAAATTTTTGAAAAAAAAAAAAAAAAAAAAATGGAGGTTTATTTGTTATATTTAAAGCTGGTTATTTGTTTGTTTTTTGTGACTGTGTATATGTAACAGGTAGAAATTTGTAATCCTTATTGGTTAATTTATATGGTGATGTTTAATTTAATATTCAATGTGCTGGGTGAGAGGGTAGTTCAATTTAATAACAGGTCTATATGATATGATGTGATAGTAATGTTTCAAGGGATT